CGGTTTTATTCAGGAACCGAAAAACTGAGAAAAGAAGAAACGAAGAACCGGGTGAATCGTTGTGGTTTTGAGAGGGGGCAGTCAAAAAGTTGCTGTATTGCGTTTTGTGATGAGGTACATCATTTCAGGAAGTGGGGTGTGCGATTCTGAGCCGATGTACCTCCGTAGGTAAGAGTCTATAAAGGTCTTTATTTCAGTTATGGTTTCCGGAGAGTCCCTGAACGAAACCTTTTCTTTCCAATCAAAAGCGGTATAACAGCTCTGCAGGGAAAATACGCAGGAATGTTTGAACCTTGCGTGCACCTCCCCCCACCCACCACCCCCCACCAGGACTCCCCATCTGATGTGATCCCATTGGGCGCCCCAATTTAGAGCTCAAACACAGACAATGCTAATTGCGTCCATGAGTGTGTACAAGAGTGCAAGCATGTATATATGTATGTGTATGTTCCAAGTGTACATGTGTGTGTGTGTATATGTTCTTAAGTGTGTGTGTGTGTGTGTGTGTGTGTGTATGTTCTTAAGAGTGTGTGTGTATGTGTGTGTGTGTGTGTGTGTGTATGTTCTTAAGAGTGTGTGTGTGTGTGTGTGTGTGTGTGTGTGTGTGTGTGTTGAATTTTCACCACAACAGCCCTGATTCCACCCATATGAGTAGATCCAAAATCGATACAGCTTCAATCCTATTGCAGACAATGAAGATCTTTGAGTTGAGACAATAAAACTATGAAACTGATTCACCTCTCCATCAAGCAACACGGAGTATAATAGAAGCCTTTAAATCCCTTTTCTTAATTGTTTTCACTTCTTCTTTCTTTGGGGTACCCCTTCCAAGCACGGAGGGAAACTTTTGTTCTTGTCCGCCCGCTCCCCTTTTACTCTGTGTCTCATGTACAAACTCGCCACGTTACTTCTGGTTGACAGCTAACTACCCACATCGTGTCTGCCACAGTGGCCCACTTGCACACTATGAAAGGAGGCAGAGTAAAGGAAGATGTATATTGAACTGTATTCCTGTTCTTCTTTCCTCTCACATCTTCAGCCTATATTTTGTCTGTTCTCTTAAACCACCACTACCTTCCATCTTCAGCCCACAGAGGAAATCGGGAAAATATCCTCGTCCAAAACACCTGGCAGGAGAGGATGTGGTGCATGATGGCACTGGGGATAATGTCCGATGGTTTTCATTTCAAGAAGTCAAATGCGCACCGTGTTTGAATTTTTTTAATAAGCTGCCTTCTCCTCATCCGGGGACAGCCATATATTTTTTCTCTCACTTCACATATCTTTTAACTGGCATTCTGCCTTTGGAGAGCCCATCGTTGATATTTGGGGAAATAAATGAATAAATAAATAAATAAATAAATAAAGAGAGGCTGTGGTTGGGAGCAGCCTGAATCGGATGAAGTCATCCAAGCCGTATGATGTCAAGAAGGGGGTGACCCGGGACCGAAGAAAACAGACAAAACAGATCGTAACTGTGAGGACAGTGAGGCACCTTCACACGAGGTCGTCCTGCACGCCACTTTTCCATGGCAGAGGGATGTTCGATTTTCCTCTTAAACTACCACTACTACCTCCTAAAAGAAGGGGCTAAAACTTGTAGACACGGGGCAAAAAACTTACAGCCCAATCAGTTTGCAATCCAATAGCAGGCAGCGCCAGGCACCTTCTGCAGCAGCAACTGTGCAATCTTCTCTTAAACCGGCAGTACACGGCCCCAGCCTTGCAGAAAATGAGCTCGCCGTGCGCCCCCCCAACTTCTCAAAACTGGGGCACCATTGACAAACTACATCATCCCTTGAAATCTCAGACAAAATTGTGTGAGAAATTGGGAATGAGCATTCAATTTTTGAATATCTAACTGTTATGACATCCACATAATTCAGATTGTTTTTTTGTCACAGCTAAGAGTTTTGTCTTTATCAACTATCTTTCCATAAGTGGACTGTGGACATGGATATATGCAGCCTGTGATCATGCAATCACTGGATCAGTCTCCCTCGCTAATGAGAAGGTCGACAGAGCCGACCTTCATAAATAGGCTCTAAGATCATTCTAAGAACTTCTTGTACAATCCTGTCCTGGAAGCATGATACTCCCAGTGGCCGCTTTTCGTTCTTCCCAGGTTTCGGAGGAATACGAGTTGCTCCCCATTCAAATTCTCCTTTGACTATCGCGTCTTGAAGCCTGGACAGGTGACTAAACAACAACTCAAAACGTTGAAGCGGGAAACTGACTCAGTCAGGTAGCGAAGGGCAATAGTTACAAAGCTATGGCAGAAGGGCAGCCTTTCCGTGGCCAAATTTCTGGAAGCGTCAGGCAGAGCTTGAAACTCTGCCGAGGGCAATGAATCTTCATATCCCACAATAGCATTGCTCAGGACGGGGTTTCTTTTGCCCAGCCAATGCCGGGCCTGCACCAGAGAGAGAGGTGGATGCTGTGATCTGAAAGTGTAGACAGTGCTGGAGTAGGTTTCAACTCTGTCAGGACTACATCGAGTCTATAGATACGGCAATAATGACCCTGCATACGGTGTATTCGGGTGACGACGGCAGTGCCTTCCCCGTGGGGCTCTTGTATTGCTTGGCGATCGCGATCTGCGCTGCTATGCAGTCTATGGCTGGACCCATGTTCATCAAGTCCTGTCAACAACTAGGAACTCAAAGCTGTATAGACGAAGCAATATAGAGTTCCACTTCCACCTGTTTTCAATCATTCTTCAACAATTAATGCCTTATGAGTTTTACAGAGGGAAATATTATCTTTATTTAAATTAGAATTATGTCTAATAGCATAACAATCTTTCCAATACTGAATTCAATATACATATAGGGTATATATATATATATATATATATATCGTCAAACAGAACTGCCCGGTAAACCGTAGGGAGAGAGGGAGAAGAGTAGGTATATATATCGTCAAATAGAACTGGCCGGTAAACCGTAGGCAGAGAGGGAGAAGAGGACAACAAACGAGGGGCTGTGACAAACTGTTTCGTCGGAGTTTCACCGACTCATCAGGAGGCTGAATATATATATATATATATGTATGTAGGGTATATATATATATATCGTCAAATAGAACTATATATATAGGGTAACTGGTGTACGGGACGGGCCGAACGCCCGAACGTACGGGACCCCTTCGGGATGCGTTCGGCCGTTCGGGCCGAACGCAGAAAAAAAAAAAACAAATCTCCCAAAAAAATCTGAAAAAAAAGATATGTTATGAAGACAAATAAAATAAACAACATTTGCCTGAGCATTACATCCAAATTCCTTACCAAATTTAAATAAAAAAAAATTAAACTCATAATAAAAATAAGAAAAAATGAAAAGAAAATTAAAATTAGCGAGTGAGCGAGAACGTTTTCAACACCACCATCTTTGGCGATTTTTCTTCTTTTCTTGGCACAGCCAAATGCCCTGAAAATTGGCAGATGTGTACTTCAAATAATACAAAACTGACTAAAAAAAATACAAAATATAATAAAATTGTTTAGGCCCCGCAATAAAGTGAAAAAAAACAGTCACGTTTTGACACCACCATCTTTGGCGATTTTTTAATTTTTGTTTGGGTTAGCTGAATGACTTCAAAATTAATAGGCATGTACTTCTAAACAAAGGGCCCCTTCTGGTTTTCCCGCACCTGGGCAACAGCTGGTCGTCTGGTGTCGGTACAGGAAGGCAGGTTGGTCTTTTGTCCATGGTTGCTCCCTGGCAATTAGAAGGCTTTTGATTGGGCACCGTTTGCGTAGGAATGCTAGGGTGGGTGACAGAGCTTATTGCAGGGTTCGGAAAACCTGTTATGGGAGTCGTTGTCTAGACTCTTAAGAAGCGAAGCCGGGTAATGCTCCCGGATATGAACGTCAGTAGGATAGGCTGAGTAAGCATTCGCCCTTTCTTCTTTGCCGGTAGTTTTCTTGTCCATTTTTCCGTTGTTTGGAAATAGCATAACAGTCGGCAGGAACATGGGACACTGGACCCAGTTTCCAGTTAGCCTCTTGAGGCAGGGATCATTCTCCGGGTTGAGATGTGGAGGGATTCCCGGCCTCCTTTTGCAGTTATAATGAAATCATGCTATTTTCAAAAAAAAAAGGAAAAAAAAAAGGCATGTACTTCTTCACATCATAGAGAACTCACAAAAACAAATTCAGAAAAACTACTTATTTTTAGGCCCCGAAATATTTTTTGCCGGGGGCCGAATGCCTTTGGGTTCGGACTCCAAACGCCCGTACGTGCGGAGGTCAGCCCGGGGACCTCCGTACGTACGGGCTGGTGACCCTATATATATATATATATATATAGCCCACAAAGCAAAGGGCAACACAGGAATCAAAGCAAGAGCCGAAAAAGGAAGCCAAGTGCCGCAAATGCCATGATACTTCATTCTCAAAGCAAACCATCTCGCTTGTACAAACCAGAGTCTCTGCTACCCTCTGCTTCCTCTTTATACTTCCATCTTTTGGTTTCCATGTTCCGCTTTGTGACCCGGAGCAAAGATGACACCGCTGGACAATCCCCGAGACACAAAGGGTTTCCGAATCGGCGTGGCTAAGCAGCGCTGGGTAACAGCTCCACCACAAAACTGCATTTTTATTTTATTTTTTCAGAAAGAACACCTCATATATGAAGCCCGGTGCCCTTGGCTTCCTTCTGGTTCTTTTCTCCCTTCTTCTTCCTTCATTTCTATTTTTCTATTTTACATCGTGAGCGGATGCATCCAGAAAACCAAATCGACAATGTCCATGAGAAGCTAGCTGCTAAAGGATTTCTCAGTAGGCATGGCCAAAAAAGTTTTTCGCTTTTCTACAGCAAGGCCAAGTTTACAACCTGCCGAGACCAATGAAGCCGAGGGAAGCATCAGCAAGCAATCAGCGTAAGCTAGAGCCCATTCTTTTCTACGGACTCCAAACAAGAGGGCTCGTAATCCCCAAACGACAAAATTTGGTACAGAAACAAACACTCGGCATACATGAAAAGGCAGGGATAGTAAAAAAAGCGCTCATGTCTTCATTACCAATAAACAGTCACAGATAGAAGGCACCCTCACTCAGAGATGCACGTAAGGAGGATCTTGACGCACCAACACGACTAGGTGAGGCTGTGTTCACACGACCGATCTTTAGTTTTACCCTCTTCTCAATGGTTAGCAGGGCATCTCTCCCCATGGGAGTGTGAACAGCATCACAGATACCCCTTTCCAACCTGCACGTCCAGTTCTTCCTGCCTGATGGACGTATGTATCTAGATGCAATGCTGATTCACACCACCCCACCACCCCACCAACCTAACACTCAGGATGTCTGGACCTCGTACAGCCACATCTGTCACCGCGAAAGTATTGAACTGGCCCTTACAAAATGACATCTTTATTACCACTTGCTGTGATTGACTCAGGTCGCCATGACGAACCCTCGCAGGTATCCAGAGTGCTTGACTCAGGTCGCCATGACCAACCCTCGCAGGTATCCGGAGTGCTAGAGCCGGAAGGGAAGCATCTCTGCCTTGCTAGTTTCTGTGAACACAATAACGTGACTCCCCTGTCCGCTTTGCTTCCCTCCATACTCTCCAAGAACACCCATCACTCCTTGAACCATTTGGGGCAACCCTTCTGATTTCATCTTCCTCAACGACATCAAATAGGCGCTATGAGGGCCTCATCTGGGTTGGAAGTCCCTGCCATCTCCCTATTTGTTGTTGACATGGTGGCACTGAACAACAGAATCTGGGATGCACATCCTGAAGCTAGGATCCCATCCTCATCAACTTCAAAACCTTCCTCTAGCATCTCATCTGCTTCATCAAGAATTCTGCCATCAAGGCCACTCAGGTCCAACGTCCGTCTATCGATACGACCTCTGATCCACCCTGGTGTTCCTGCCACAACGTCCGTCCCCGCTCGGAGTGTGCTGATTCCTGAGGAGGAAGAGTGTCCCCACCATACAGACAAACACATTGCAGCCCCCCCCATTCCAGATGCATAACAATTGAATCCCCCGAAGACTTGCTTTGCCAACCCTCGCGTTGGCACGAGAGCTCATGCCCTGGGAGTTCATCCATGCTTCGCCACTTTATCGATGGATAGATGATGAATCGCAGGAAGTACATACGCGAGGGTCTTTCCCTGCCCCAGTCCGAGCAAGTGCAATCAGATCTTTCACAGATCCAAGATGTGCTTGAACGTCTGCGAGACTGAATCCTCCATAGCCCCCTGACGCCTCTCGACCGCAGACATTCTGCTACGCAATCAATAATCCCCATGTCCTTGAGATCGGCACCTCAACTGCTCTGCTGCCACCCTCACCACCCTGCTCCATACCATGCTCAAGGTGGGCAAGGCGCTGCTTGCCCCCATCACCAAGACCACCTGCTGCAGACTTCATCGTAGCTGTTGCTGCTACTCATCCACCCCTAGAACGTCCTGCAAATTCGTTCACAATCGACAGCGGAAACCACTCGTGAGGCTTGTTGCCATTTTGCCCTCCCCCATCTTCTCCACTTCTGCAGTGGACTGGAAAGGCCCTAATGGCTGCAGTCATTGCATGGGTGATTCATGCCAAGTTTAGTTTTTTGGGTAAAATTGTCCTTTGGGACATCCACTAAGATAAAATTGGAGCGACACAGAGAAGATTAGCATGGCCCCTGCACAAGGAACACATGCAGAAATTGAGAAATGGTCTTATGGCAGGTACACCACTGAGAGGCTGCAGTTATAACAGTCAGATTCATACCATAAACCCTGATGTTCTTTGGCGAGTCCACCTTCAAATATCCTTCGTCGAGGATAGCAAAATGTACAAAGACAGCAAAATGTACAAAGATAGCAAAATGTACAAAGATAGCAAAATGTACAAAAATAATATTACCCTAATGTTCTTTGGTAAGTCCACCTTTGAATATCCTTCATCAAGTATAGCAACATGTACAAAGATAGCAAAATGTACAAAAATAATAGTCACTAGATGACCCATTGCGGCTTCGCCCGCAAAAACAGAAAACTAAAAAGCACAAAAGAAAGAAAAAGCATAAGGAACTGCCCTATCATATGCCGCTTCTTTCACAAAAACAAAAAGAAGAGCCTGAGAGCATACAGAAATCCGCGTGCAAGAAATAGGAGGGAATACCACCAAACTTTTTTTGTTTCTTATCTGCGAGTGTTTTGTTTGGGAAGCCGCAGCCTTTGCAGCATCTTTTTTCTTTGGTGCTGTGGAAGAACTGTGAACTTTTATGAGAAAATCCTGTCCGTAGTCCTGTTGACGTTTTTGCTAAAGATTCCTATTCAGACTTTTGTTTTCTATGTTCTCTGAATATGTTTGTGATCAAGCGATCTTGCATGTATGCCTCCTGCTTACTTGCCAAGTCTTGACTCTATGTGCGCAAGTGCATGCGCGTGTGGGTGAGTTCTCTCAGGTTTGCGATCAATCGATCTTGCATGTATCCCTCTTCCCCAGGACAATCATCAATGACATGCGCTTGTTGTTGAGTTGGTGGGGTCGGATGATGTCATTGATGATTGGCCTGGGGAAGTTGTTGGAAGGCGCCTCCATCAACAACAGGAGTGCCACTGATGTTAAGAAGCAGGGGTTTTGCATTGTATGAATGATGAAACAATCAGCAGCATTCAATCTGCTTGGCAGCTCTTCGGGTGGGGGACTTGTCGGGAGTAGCATTGCCATGAGAGCCATAATGCCTGGCGTGCAAACGTAGCACGTGTCAGAGTCGCATAATGG